CTTGCCTCAGTCTCCCGAGTAGCTGAGACTATAGGCGCCCACCACAACACCTGGCTAGTTTTTCTTTTCTATTTTTAGTAGAGACAGGGTCTCACTCTTGTTCAGGCTGGTCTCAAACTCAGGCAATCCACCTACCTCAACCTCCCACAGTGCTGGGATTACAGGAATGAGCCACCACATTCTTATCTCCAAAAAATAATTTAGGAACAGCTAGAAACTACACTTCCAATTTTATCATATGAAAGTGTCAAACCATGACAAGGCCACTGCCACTGTCCCTGTACCAGTGGACAAGGTGTTAAGTTACTCTTAGCAGTGACTGCCTACGCCAGAACAAACTTGTTCTGACCAGGTATCTTCAGGGTTCTGGGACATAAGGGGCCAGACAAGGGAATCCAGTTCCTCTCAAGCCTTTTGGGCTCATTTATATGAAATGTTTCTTTTTCCAGCAAGGTTCCTTCAACTCCAAGTCTAGCTTAGGGATTCTTCCTGTAAGCTACCAGGTGCTGCCCTTCAGAAGGCTCCTGCCCACCAATGACAGCTGTGGATAAATTCTTCTGAGGAATGCCCCTCGCTGGACTAAGCCACTAGATGGCAAGGACTGAATCCACATTCCCAGCATTGGGCACAGTGCCTGGCACCAAGGCTGGCAGTTCTTGGCCTGTGTGCCACGGTCCTTGGAAAGCTGCGGAGGATTGTGACCTTCTCAGTGCTATGTCTGGCCATTTCTCAGATATGTTGTCACTTTTTTTTTGTTGCATGTTTTGGCCATAGCTGGGTTTGAACCCGCCACCTCCGGCATATGGAGCCTGCGCCCTACTCCTTTGAGCCACAGGCGCCGCCCATGCTGTCACATTTTAATGTTAATGTAACTATGGATAAAAATTTTCTTTTGGAGATGACTATTAGATACATAATTGAACTGAGTGATCACTGGACCCATGACGACATTTCCTCTGTGTGGTTGACTGCTTAGTATATCAATTTGGGTGTGTGTGTGGGGGGGGGGTTCTATTCAGATAGTACCAAAAAGCAACCACGTGACTAATCATATCGTATAGTAACTGTGGGTACAGATTACCCTTTCTTCAAGGGAGGCAGGAACCACTGATCTTTAGCCCAAGAACCATTAATTTTGAATGTATCTCACTTCAGTTTGTGGTTAATGCATTTCTAACCATTAGAACACAACAAAACCAATCCTGTAACACAAATAAAAAAATGCCACCAAGCATTGCATTGCAAACAGGAATCTGACTGCCACCTAACAAATTAAATTGCTCACAGCCAAAAAGACACATAAGCAACTCCCTTCTGCCCAAAGAACAAGTTGCATCATCCAGTACTCCAACTACTTAGCTCAAGGCCATGGGCAAACAGCCTGGAGATAAACCCCAGGAGTTCCAGAGCTCAACTATAAAGGCAGGATGGAGAAAAATCCAAGGGAGGAGAGATTTCAGCAAAGAGACCGCAGAGCACAGCCTGTGCCTAGAGATACCCCCCACAAGGAGCAGTGTCAGTCCCAGGAGAGAAGCACTGCCCCCAGCATCTGCAGGGGACCTCCCACAGCACCCTGGCTCTCACAGGTTCCCCAACTGCTCAGGCAGCCTTTTCCTGTCCCACAGCCTTTGTTCCATTTGTCCATCACCTCTCTTCCTTTCAGGAGGGGTTCAATTATCACCTCAGGGCTTCCTTCTCTGACCTCAGTCTGTAGCCTCTCACTTCACCTTAATATACAGTCACATATTGTTCTCCTTTTCAGTTTTTGTTTCTTCCTCCCTTTCCAAAGGCCAGCATCCTGTCTTCTCTCTCATCTACTCTACTGGCTCACATCTGAATTAGGGTAGTGGGTCTTGGCACCTAGGAGTATTATTCCCTGTCACAGTGGCTCTAGCCTAAAATGGATCTTCGCTCCACCCAATGGTTCAACTAACCTTTTCCTCCCAGTGTGTAATTAGCCCTGTCAACATGCAGGGATCCTCAAACTTTTTAAACAGGGGGCCAGTTCACTGTCCCTCAGACCACTGGAGGGCCAGACTGTAGGCCCCGGGACGAGTCAGCTGCTAAGCAGGACAAGCAGCGGCGGCAAAAACACCCTGCAGGCTGGTTAAATGTCCTAGGCAGCCTTCCTGCTACCAGCTGGTAGCAGCTTTTTTTCTCAGGCCTGGGACCTTTGATTAAGAATTCAAATTTGGCCAGCTGTGGTGGCTCACGCCTGTAATCCTAACACTTCGGGAGGCTGAGGTGGATCACTTGAAGTCAAAAGTTCGAGACCAGCCTGAGCAACATAATTAGAGCCCCATTTCTACAAAAAATAAAAAAATTAGCAGGGCACAGAGGAATGTACCTGGAGTCCCAGCTACTCAGGAGGCTGGGGCAAGAGAATTGCTTGAGCCCAGGAGCACAAGGTTGCAGTGGGCCATGATGATGCCACCGTACTCTAGCCTAGGCAACAGAGCAAGCAAAACCCTGTCTCAAAAAAAAAAAAAAAAAAATTTCAAACTCAAAGCAGCCACACTCACCAATATCCAGACATCCTGTACCCAGAGCCAATGCCAAAGAAAAACTCTGACTGGTACTTTCCCATTTATCCCTGCCATGGTCCTGGATTGATGGCAAGAAAATAACCAAGTCCCTAAGCTAAAGAAACCTCTACAACATGGAAAAAGGGTTGCACATTGTTCTGAAAAAGCAAGCATTTAATAACCTGACCTATTTGTTTATATGGGGAGCCCAAGGAGCAGCTATGCTTCATTTATACATTTAAATAACAAACTAACATCCTGGTAAAATACTAACAGCTCAAGATACTGAGGATAGTACTGTGATCCAGACAGACTCCTCTCAAACAGAATACAGCCTGGTGGAAAAAAGAGACCAGTAAATAGATACCCATAGTATATACCGCAGAAGCCCCAACTCACACCTGAAATGACACATGAAGAAAAAGAATTATTTCAACCAAAGGATAGTGCCTCAGACAGAAGGAACATATTGGAAAAAAAGTGTGAGCCCAAAGGAACTTTGTTCCAATCCAGAAACCACGAAAGAAGTCCATATGGTTTAAGACACAGTCCAGTGCAGACAGATGAGTCTGAAGTTAAAGGAGGACAAGTCATGAAGGGCTTTGCCAGCCCTTGTCAAGGGCTTGGAAGAACAATGGAATCCACTGAAGGCCAAAAAGAGAATGAGGGGACAGTTCTGGTGGCATGATCAGACTTCTGTTTAAAGACCATGGGTCTAGCTTCCCTATACAAAAGAGACTATAGGATCAAAAAGGGATGCAGAGATCAGTCAGGAAGCTACTGGGGTAACCCAGAGAAGAACTAGTGGCCTTAACAAGACTGGGCAGAGGGATGGGAGTGAGAAGCTAATGTATCCAAGACACCTTTGCGAGGGATTCATATGGGAGGGAGGTGAGAATGATGCTCAGGTTTCTGGCTTGGGCACCTGGGTGGATGGCAGTGCTATGTCCGGTGAGAGAATACAAGAGCCAGCTTCCCCCACCTTCCCACTCCCTGCTCAAGCACAGCCTAGCCAACTTCTCCCGGGGCGGATAGGACCGGTGGTCTCCCCCAGAAGACGGGGGAACCAGCGGCAGAAGGAGAGTAACGCCTCTAGCCCGAGCGCTTCTGATCTGGCCAGGGGCAGTGTCCATGCGGCACAGCTGGTCCCACAGGCAGCTCCTGGGGGCCCCAGGGGCCAGTGAAGAGGGAGGAGATCAGCCCGGCCGGACCTGTCTGGCCACAGGATTCCGCCCTAGCAGACAGGCCGTGCTCCTAGCCGGCTAGGCGTCCAGAGCCGGCAGGGTCAGCCTCCCACCCAGACCGCTCCTGCCTCCCATCCTGAGCTCAAGCACCCAAGAGCGGCACTGAGATCCCGCCCTGCCGCGATGCCTCAGTGCCACCCACGGACCTCCGCCGCTAATGTTGGGGCTCTGCCGCTAGCCGGTCCACTCACTCTCACGGTCCCCGCCGCAGATGCGAAGCCCTCCAGCAAGAGCCTCCTCAGCCCCCGTCCCCAGAACGCTCTTCCTCGGCCCCGCCCCGTCCCCGGGCCAGTGCGCACGCGCGCTGCCTACCGCCCGCCCATTGGCGCCGCAGAGCCCCGCCCCTTGTCCGGCAGTTAGCAGCCTGGACGGCTAGTGTAAGTCCACGTGTAACGGGCCCGCGCTAGGACCGACGGACGCGACTCAATTTTATAGCTTCCTTCCCCAGGGCGATGCTCAGCTCCAGCCTGGGCTAGTGGGCTCCTGAAACCCTTAGGTGCCCAGCAGGTTGCCAGGCAACTCCGGAAGCCCTCTGTAACCGAGTTCAACCTGGGACGTAGGATGGCGGATCCGGATGGGGCGGACTCCAAACCTGGCTGCCAGCTCCGCCTCCACCTCACCTTTACAGGTGCTTTCCTTCAAGGTTCAGGTCCTGTGGTTCCTGCAACTGCAATTTGGGAAGAAAGATAACAGCAATCCTAACTTCTTTTTTAATGAAACGACTAGAAAATGCTGGAGCCGGTATTGGAGCCTGTGTTTTCAAGAGTGCCTCCTTCCAGCTTCTACTTGCTCTGTTCCATTCACTTCCACACACGAGTCCCACCAAGACTCGTTAAAATTCTGCTTTACCTCAACAGTTCGTGAAATGCTTTTATTATTCAAGAGAAGGAAGACAAAGCACTTAAAAACAGGCATATGAACAAATAAGGGAAACGAATAGATAATCCCTGGAAATCCTGCCCTTACACCTTTGCTCCTCTACAAGATTGTCACTTAGGAATTATCTATTGACCAGGTGGTTAAATGAATGTAGGACTGTCATTTTTAAATCCCTTCTCCTGTTTGTCTCCGTAAAGATACATAATCCTTTTTCAAATGACTCTGGATCCAGAAAAGGAGAGACAGAAGAAAGTGGATAAGTAGGCAGACGATCTAAGAACACTTCATGCAGTCTGCTTTAATAGATAAGTGCCTTGAAAGTTGACTAAGAATACTGCCATTGACAGCCTTGTTCCTTCTTCTACCTTCATCTGAGATTGAAATCTGTTTATTCTATCCCGAAGAAATGTCCCAGAATCCGTAAGTTCTGAAGAGATTTTAATTCAAGACTCCTTCTCCTTTCCTTGCTCTGAAGATCGCATTAGTTTAATTTAGTTCGTTCACCCACACTGCAACTGCCATTCATCCATCTGTCCATCCATTGTCCCAATCCATCCATTTGTCCCTTCCATTGTTCATTTACTCATTAATTCAGTAACATTTCTTAAATAACTTCTTCATAGGAGGCACTGTGCTAGGACCTACTAGGCATACAAGATATGGTTGCTTCAGGAAGCTTAGATGGGATAGATGGATAAAGTGTCCTCATTTTGTTCAATCAATGAGTCTACTTTTTCTATGAATATTATCCTCTGTCTTCTCTCTCCCTCTCTCTCTCTCTCGAGTCAACAATTGTTCCCTCTTTACCAGATCATATAAGCTTTCTTTCTGGTTTCTTCCCCACCATACTTCTGATACTACAATCTCCTGGAAATCCAGTAGTCTCATTTTTTAGCTTTTTTATTTTAACTGCCCTCCACACAAAACAAAAACTCTTTGTTTTGTTTTCTGACACCACACATTCTTGGTCCTCCTCCTATTTCACGGGTTATTTTTTCTTGGACTCTTTAACTGACTTCTCATCCTCTGCTCAAACTATTAGTGTCAAAAGTGCCCAGGGATCTGGCCCTATTCAACTTCTCTATGCACTCTCCCTGTGTGACTTCATCTAGTCCTGTGTTTTAGCTGTCATATATAAGCCAATGATTCCAAAATTTAAGTCTCCATTAATGACCTTTCTCAGTAATCTCTAACTCCTGTAAATAATTGCTTTTTTGACATCTCCATGTGAATGTATGACTGGCATCTCAAACTTAACATGGCCCCCTGAAATCTTGATTTTCGCCCTCAAACCTGCACCTCACTTTGTCTTGTCCGTCTTAGTAAACATCACTGTTACTCATTCAGTGTTGAAGCTACAATTCTAGGAGGTATTCTTTTTTTTTGAGACAGAGCCTCAAGCTATAGCCCTGGGTAGAGTGCCGTGGCGTCACAGTTCACAGCAACCTCAATCTACTGGGCTTAAGCAATTCTCTTGCCTTAGCCTCCCAAGTAGCTGGGACTACAGGCACCCACCACAACGCCCAGCTATTTTTGGTTGTAATTGTCATTGTTTAGCAGGCCCAGGCCAGATTCGAACCCGTTAGCTCTGATGTATGTGGCTGGCACCTTAGCCACTTGAGCTACAGGTGCCACCCTCTAGGGGGTATTCTTGTTTGCTCTTATTCCTCTAATGCTTCAGCAAACCCTGTTGTTGCTACCAAAAATATATCCTGAGTCCTTCACTTCTTTCCATTTCTACTACCACCATGCCAGTCTAAGGAACCATGATCTGGTACTAGACTACTTGAGAGAGAACCTCCTAAGTGACCTGCTTGCTTCCATTCTTGCCCTGCTGTAGTCCATGAGTGGGAAGCCACCTTTGTTTAAGCTATGTCTAGGTAGGTGTTCCACAACTTGTAGCTGAACCCATTCCTTTTTTTATCTTTTCTTTTTGAGACAGAGTCTCAAGCTGTCGTCCTGGGTAAAGTGCCATGGCATTATAGGTCACAGCAACCTTCAACTCAGGCTCAAGAGATCCTCTTGCCTCAGTTTTTCTATTTTTAGTAGAGATGGGGGGTCTTGCTTTTGCTCAGGCTGGTCTCGAACTCCTGAGCTCAAGCAATCCACCCACCTTGACCTCCCAGAGTGCTAAGATTATAGGCGTGAGCCACTGCGCCTGGCCGCTGAACTCATTCCTAACACAAATAAGTTTATGCCAGAAGAAGAATACTAAAAAACAGTTACTAAAATGCGGACTTGGCTATCTGGAGGTTAGGGTATCCATTGGTGAAGACTATTCCAACTGGAAAGTTGGTGACCCTTTGTTAAGCAGTAGTGAAACTGTCAGACCATTGTCACTTGTTGGACCTTGGATACAGACCACATTCCAACCAAAGGTGTTATTTTGGGAGAAATCTCAGGAACCATGGAACATCAGTGAGTGTTAGTCTTTTGTATAGCTTCCAGCAAATTCCTTCAAGAGAGTGGGGAATCTAGATTAAAAATAATTGATTTAAAAGCAGGGATTAAAGACAGTAAGGACTTGGTAAGAGAGAATCTCACTACCTGAAGCCTACTATTTAAATTGGCCCATAACTTGGAGTCCCATAACTTGGAGACTTGCTGGGTTGAAATACCCCATTTACTTTGTGTCTCTAAATAGAAACCAGCGCCAAGTGGAGACAGAGAAAAGGCAGCTTTATTAAGAAGCAAAATGGAGACCTCAGAGGGCTGGATGGCCTCTAGGTGGCATCTCTCTCTTCAGCTGTTGTTTTGAATTATCTCAAAACAAAGTTTTCTCTATTTAGAGGATTCCAGGGTGGATGAGAGCAGGGATGAGAATAAGACTGCAATTGACACCTTTTAGTATTGCCTTGGTTTTTTAAATGGTGTAAAAAATAAAAAATATTTAAAAAACAATTTAAGGACCATTTAAATAAGTTATTTGATTCTGATTACTATACATGGAATTGACCAGAAAAATAACAAATGATTAAGGAAATCCTGTGTCTCTATAATCTCTAAAATGTCAACAACAGTCTATTGCTGTTCAACTCT